GTGAAAAAGTCTGAACCATTTACAGAGGAACCATCTTTGTTTCTCAGCCCTGTCCTTTAAACCAAATGAGTTCCTCAACAATGTTTTGCTTGATTCATGGTTTGAGCTTAATCAATGTTAAAGGGAATTGATGATCTGAAGGTGTGTGTAGATTGGAACAAATGTTAGGTTGTCTTGTGATGAATATGGCTAAAGTTTTTAAGTAGAGTTTGGTCTCTAAGAATTCCACAATTACTAACTTGGACATTGAGTTCATTTGCTTTGTCTGCATGCTTTGGTTCTGAGTCCCCGCTTTCAAACCTCTCCTCCAGCTTGTTCTTAATTGTTTGCTTGAGGGCAAGCAAAGACTAAGTTTGGGGGAGTTGATATGTCTATATTTTACTTGTTTTGAGCATCCATTTAGCATCACTTTATCATCATTTCGTCATTGTTTCATACCATTCTTCATCATTTTTCATCACTTTGCATGATTAGGATAGTTTTGCATGCATGTTGCATATTTGAGTGTTTTCAGGTGATTTGGAGCTGTTGGCGAGCAGATTGGGAGAAGCAGAGCAAAACCAACAGTATCACTCGACCTGCACAGTCGAGCACTCTCAGCAGCCAGCCTCTCAAGATCACTCGACCACATCTCCTCATCACCAAGTGGATTGCGCAGTCGAGCATCACCAGCAGACTCTTCAGATCACCACTCGACCTTGTCTTCAGATGACCACTCGACTGACCACTCGACCTCGTGATCGAGTACCCTCTCCTTCACCAACTCGACCTACCACTCGACCTCGTGGTCGAGCACCATCTTCTTCAGCCACTCGACTGGATGCTCGATCTCCACCCCCCCACAGCCACTTAATCACAAGCTTCAAAGTCTTCTCAGATCCCAACTCAACCAGACACTGAGCATAAGGAAGAGAAGAGGATGAAGCATTACTCGACTTACCACTCGACCTAGGTACTCGATTGCAACACGACCAGATCAAGAAACCGCAAAGGAGCCAGCTTTGCTCGACTTCTTCACTCGATTGCACGAAGCCGAATGTCTCCGTAAACCGCCTTAATACTTTGTCGTCTTGTGATTTAGGGTTTCCTAGTATTTGCTATAAATAGGTTGTTTCTCATAATTTTGAGACTAAGTCTTTTTCTGCAGAACAATTAGTGCTTTCTTCATATTTGTAATCCAGATTTCTCTTAATCTATTGAGTATTTGCTTTTGATTTCTTCTACAAAGTTGTTCATCTTGTTGAGATCTTGCTAGTATGAAGTTTTTATGCATTTCTGGGTTTATGTTCATGTTCATGAGTTTTGAGTAGTGATTAGGGTTCTTGAGGATGGGTTAGAGTAGTTTAGAATCCTTGATCTGCTAGGTGGTTGAGTTTGATTGGTAGATCCCTTCTGGATTAGTTGTTCTTAATGCTGATTGCTTTCTGATCAACTGGAATCTGAGCCCAGACATTTCCGCACCCAAAAGGTGTTCGATGAAATGTCTGAACCACTAATTCCAGAGATTCGTGGCTCTGTACCAAGGTATTGGTTACAGGGAGCGTTTTGGCTTAGACTTGTTGTTTCGTAATGCCTGTTAGGTTAGCTCTCGTCAATGGTGATTGAGTCTGGGACTAGCTTTGCTTGAGGATCTCTGTTGCGGTAGCACTTTGATTTGGCTATTGAACTTGTTGTCTAGGGATAGTTTGTTGAGCATGTTAACCACCTGTTAGATTAAGGAGACTTCACTACTCGATTACCCCATCCTCGGAAATTTCTCTTCCAATTGATTTCTTTGTTCACATCGCTATTGATTGCTTGATCTCGTTACTTGTTGCTTAGTTTTTGCATTTTTTACTTATTTCACTTGAAGTACTCGACCACACCCAGCGGTTTGGAAACGGACTGTGCAGTCGAGTACATTTGTTGCAGTTTTTTGTTTGGTACTCGACCTGGCACTCGACCACATCCAGTGCTTGGCATCAAGCTGTGTGATCGAGTGTGTTATCTGTTTCTGTTAGAATTATTGTTTTCTGCATGATCACTGGAACTGTTAACAACATCAAAACCTGTTATTGCTTGGCTTGACTCTGTGAAATCTGATTGCATCTTGATTGCTAGCATCACACCCATTTGGATTGACACCTTAAATACTGCAATGACATGATAGTGATTTAAGGATAATTGATCTTAGTGAAAATCTTACTATCACTAAACCCGGCGAAGTGCACGTTCGGAGTCCCATCCGGGGAGTTTCTTGGCTATATTGTGACGAAAAGGGGAATTGAAGCCAATCCAAATCAAATCAATGCTTTTCTAAACATGCCATCTCCGAAAAACTTTAAGGAAGTACAGCGGTTGACCGGGCGGATTGCGGCTTTGAACCGTTTTATTTCGAGATCAACGGACAAATCTTTACCTTTTTATCAAATTCTAAAAGGAAACAAAGGATTCCTTTGGGATGAAAAGTGTGAAGAAGCCTTTGGGAAACTTAAGGCATACTTAACTACTCCACCTGTATTGTCTAAGCCCGAGATGGATGAAAAGCTTTATTTGTATATATCGGTTTCGAACCACGCGGTTAGTGGAGTCTTAGTTCGGGAGGACCGCGGAGAGCAAAGGCCGATTTACTACATAAGTAAGTCAATGACAGATCCAGAAACCAGATACACAATGATGGAGAAACTCGCACTCGCGGTAGTGACTTCGGCCCGAAAGCTGCGCCCATATTTTCAGTCCCATCCAATCGAAGTATTAACTAACCAGCCACTTCGAACGATACTTCATAGTCCAAGTCAGTCCGGACGGTTAGCGAAGTTGGCGATAGAGTTGAGCGAGTACGATATAGAATACAAAAGCCGGGTCAGCATGAAGGCCCAGGTTTTAGCAGATTTCCTAGTCGAACTACCAACGCCTGGCGTGCTAGGGCAACCGAAGAATCAAACTTGGAAGTTGCACGTGGACGGATCTTCATCAAAACAAGGATCCGGAGTGGGCATCAAGATGGAATCTCCCACATCGGAGATTCTGGAACAATCTTTCCGATTATTGTTTAAAGCCTCCAACAATGAGGCAGAATATGAAGCCTTAATTGCCGGAATTCGTTTGGCACAAGGAGTTGGAACTGAGGAAATAGTTGCTTATTGTGATTCGCAACTAGTAGTTAACCAGTTCAGTGGAGACTATGAGGCTAAAGATGCAAGAATGGAAGCATATCTCGGAGTTGTAAAGGATCTATAAAAAAACTTCAAGAAATTCGAGCTAATTCGTATACCTCGAGGAGAAAATACAACAGCAGATGCACTCGCTGCGTTAGCATCGACGTCAGATCCTGTGTTAAAAAGAATCATTCCGGTAGAATGCATCTCGGAACGAAGCATTAAAGAAGACAAAGAAACTCTCGTCATTACAAGATCTCGAGCAGCGGCGAGTGACCGTGGTGAACCTGAGATCGAGCTGCCACCCGTCAAACGGAGAAAATCAAGAGGGTCAAATGTGTCTGAGCCTAACATATCCAAGGAAAGCAATAGCGAGGAGCCTGTTATTCTATCGGAGGGCGCAATTCCGGAAACAGTTACAGAGACTGGTCCATCCACCGAAGAGAACACTCTTGAACCAAACGAGCATCCCGAACCATAACCGCGAATATTTCATGAAAACGGCCAAATTCCGGCTAAAGACTGGGGGACTGACTGGAGGGAGCCAATAAAGCACTACATTTTGACGGGCAAACTCCCAAAAAATAAATGGTAAGCCAGAAAAATGAGAGTCGTTAGCGCGAAATTTTGTTTGATAAAAGATGCATTGTATAAGCGAGGAGTCAGCGACCCTTACCTACTATGCATTTTTGGGCCCAAAGTTGAAATTGTCATGAGCGAAGTACACGACGGGTTGTGCGGGAGTCATTCGTCAGGAAGAGCTATGGCTTTTAAGATTAAAAGAATGGGGTATTTCTGGCCCACTATGATCACGGATTGTGTCAAATATGCCCAAAGATGTAAGCGCTGTCAACTTCATGCACCATTGATCCATCAACCTTCGGAATTATTCTCTTCCATCTCCGCCCCATATCCGTTTATGAGATGGTCAATGGACATCATTGGACCATTGCATAGATCAACTCGAGGAGTATAATACCTTTTGGTCTTGACGGACTACTTTTCAAAATGGATTGAAGCTGAAGCATATGTTAGCATCAAAGATTCGGCGGTTAATACATTCCTTTGGAAAAATGTCATATGTCGACATGGGGTTCCATATGAGATAGTTACTGATAATGGACCACAGTTCATTTTGCATGAGTTCGAAGCTTTTTGTTCGGACTGGAGAATCAAAGTCAGTTACTCTACTCCACGATATCCGCAAGAAAACGGCCAAGCCGAGGCCGCGAACAAGACGATTCTTAGCTATCTCAAAGAACGCCTGAATCACCTAAAAGGAGGTTGGTATGATGAACTACAACCCGTCTTGTGGGCCTATCGCACAACTCCTAGGCGGTCTACTAGGGAAACTCCGTTCTCTCTGGTTTATGGTATGGAGGCGGTGGTACCAGCCGAGCTTAATGTACCCGGACTTCGCCGAGCAGAAGCACCATTGGATGAAGAAGAGAACACAGCGATGCTTGATGACTCGCTAGATACCATTAATGAAAGGCGGGATCAAGCCTTAATTCGGATTCAAAATTACCAGCAGGCAGCAGCTCGATACTACAACTCTAAAATCAAGAGTAGGCCTTTCTTTGTAGGAGATTATGTGCTAAGGCGAGTCTTTGAAAATAAAAAAGAAGATGGTGCGGGCAAACTCGGCATTAATTAGGAAGGGCCTTACATTGTTACAGAAGTGGTTCGGAATGGTGTTTATAGGTTGAAAGACTTAGAAGACAGGCCAGTCAAGCGACCCTGGAATGTGATCAATCTAAAGAAATTTTATGTTTAAGATACACGCATTTTTTATGTACATGAACTACGGTGTGGCTTGATCCCGGAATGGGTACGTAGGCAGCTCGGAAACGAGTTCAACTATTAATAAAAATTTGTTTTTATTCATTTAAAGGAAAAAGTTCGACTATGCGAACAAACAAGCACTGGAAATAAAGTAACAATAAAGCAAATAAGACTAAGCGTCGTCACGCCCGCATCCCGAATTAGGAGACTCTTCTCGATGAACAGAACACCTGAACTCCTTGACCAGCAAGGTTGAGAATCGGCATCATACAATCCGGAATGCGAGCGAATTCGAAGATTCCAAGCTCGATCCATTCTCCGGGGTGAGAGCTGAGGATGTGAAGATCTCGCGATATCACAGTAACCCTGCATTGCATTCGATGAATCTTTTTTCGAAGTTTCTTCCGTTCCAGCGTTAACTTCTTGTGTTGAATCGCAAGCGCTTTGATAAATGCCATCGCAATTTCTTGGTCTCTGTCTGGGAGGTCCTTGATCAAAGCGCACGGAGTTTGGATCTGAGACCTAAAAACGCCGCGGGATGAAGAAGGCTGCTTACCGGTTGCGTCTCCGTCCATCATTCTAACCCTGGAGAAATCAGGCATGGACTCTGAACATCGGAGGTTGAATTCCATACCTGCAAAAAGAAAAAAGAATGGTGAGGAATAAAGAGAAATTGAAGCCTCAATTTATAGGGACATCACGTCCCTAGTAAGCTGCGTTTTCCATCCTGGAATGGAGCGATTCGTGGAGAGATTTAAGCCTCTTGAAGAATCCTGCACTTAAAGACGTATCTCCGGGAATATTTCGAGAAAAAGGAAAGTACTCAAAGTTTCCATAAATAAAAGGACCGGAGCCCATCATGAGTTTAAAAGTTTTTTTAAAAAAAAAAGAAAAGAAAAGCAGGATTAGGGAACATTTATGGAAGAGGCTTAGGAACAGACTCCTTCATCGCCGGTTTGGTACCTGGACGCCTTTTTCTTATCATCCACCTCGGGTTCGTTCCGGACGCGTTTCTGGCGAGTGTTGTCCTCCTCTTCATCCTCCTCTTCGCTGCTGGATGAAGCGATTTCGACCAGGGCATTCACGGGCCCCGGGACTTGACCTTTAGCTCGGAGGTACATCCGGAGCATCTTCGGGATCTCTGCGATGGAATCAAAGTTCCTCTACTCCCATTGGAAATGATCGCTTTCCAAAGCCCTCACTTTCCCTTCCACTCGAGCGATACGAGCTTCGAGTACTTGCCTTTTAAGCCCCAGCCGCTGCCGTTCATCGCACAAATGGCGATGTTTGTCGACGACCTGCCGCAGAAACAAGTAAATTAAAAAGGAGGGGAGAAAAGTTCAATCCAGAAATACGGATACTAACCTTGTCTATGAAATCGCAAGCCTCCTTCTTTTCCTTCGAAGGAAAGTGGAACACGGCATGAGGAAAGAGAACACCGGCTGGCTCGAAACCATCACCGGATAGGAAAAGTGGGCTGCCGGGTTCGATGGGGGCTGCTTTTTCATTTTCCATTGTTGTGGTGTTTATCGAATGAATTCTGAAGTTCCTTGAAGAAAGTTCAGAGGCAGAAAAGCCATTATTTATAATGATTTAGGGTTTGTTCTAGGAACCATAAGTCCAATAATGATGGCGTGCCCGAGTGGGTTAAACCGTTTTTGGAAATTGTGAAAAGCAGTTATTGCCTTAAAGACGTGTGATTTTTCCTATTTTCCAGGGATTGGGAAAGGAAAAAGCAACCAGCGCATTAAAAGGCAAATAGTTCATTAAGTACCAAAAGTTTTGAGGCCCAAACCCAACAAATTTACTGAGTTGACTAAACCCGAAGTGGAGAACTCGCTTAAGCCGAGCTCAGTTCTCGCACCCTAAGAGAAAGGTCTGATCAGCCTTAAAATCTCGAAAACATAACCACATGGCCAAAAAGTGTTAAAAAGCGGACTTTGCAAACCCGCACAATGTTTTAACCAAACCCTCAAGGGGTGAGAAATTGAAAAGGTTTAAAAGCCTCCTCAGGCCAATATCTTGTTCAGAAAAAAAATAATAATAAAGCCTACATAGGCGAGAAAAAAAATCTAAACATTAAAGTTAAGTCTTTCAAATAAATGGGACAAGCCCCAATTCAAAGTGGACACAGCCACTACGGGTTAGCAGCCACCTCGGGCTCATTTCCAGACAGGGATGCTTCATCCGATTCCTTGGTCGGGGCCTGCTCAGAAGAAGTTCCTTGCTCACTCCCTACGGCACCTTCATCTTCCGAGGTGACCACTGGTACAGCAGGAACCTCAGGTGGGACAGTACCATCCGGCTCGCTTGAACCTGTGAAAGGTGAGTTCGATTAACCAAATACACAAAACATGTAAACGGTGAATTCCGAGAGAAGGATTTACCTGCCCAATCCAAACCTGATTTACTCAGAGGAGGAGATTCAGTGAAGAACTCCTCGAACTGTTGAGGGTTGAAGGCCGGAACATGTAGAGCTGCAAGGTGACTTCGCTTTTCAGCTAAGCTGGCCGTCAGTTCGGACCTCTCTTGCTCCTCAGAGAAACCCTCTTCATGAGTTTGTTCTAGCAAGAGTAAGTTGCTCTCGTACTCCTTGATATCCGATTCAAGTACCGATCTCGCCTTCTCGTTTTGCATGAAATGGATAGCCCCTTGGACCAACTCCATCCCGTGTCCCTGACCTCTCTCCTGGCCTTTGATGCCGACCTTGCCAACTCGGAGTCCCGCAGCTTAACAATCGCCTTATACTTCGCGTCGAGTTCGGCAAGTTGGTTATTCAAGGAATAAGCGGTCGCTTCGGATTCATATAGTCTACCTTGAACCCCAGAAAATTCGTCCTGAAGTTGGCTACTCCGGTCATACTGGTCTTGCAGTTCGCCTCTTACCTTCGCGAGTTCGGACGTGAGGTTGTCAACTCGGTCTTCCAATTCGTGCTTAGAGTTGGAAGAGGAGTGGAGGTCGGCCTCAAGAGCAGAAAGCTTACCCTTCCACGTATCAATCTCATGTCCTCGACTGAGTAACAGCTTCTCATAGTGTTCAACCATATCATTGAGTTCGCTGTTCGCCTGATATTTCGCATAAACCCAGGATAGTTAGTCAGTACGAAGAATGATAGTGAAACCGGAAAAATAAAAGGGAACTAACCCGAGAAGAATGATAAGCTTGAAGTAAGTAGCGTTCACGAATTGCAGGGCGCCACTTGTCGAAATCTGGCAAGACCGCACCAGATCGGGTCTTGAAGCACCGGAAGACGCTACCCTCTTTCTCCATAGCTGTGGAGAAGAAGAAGAGTCGTAAAATTTGGAATCTAAACGAAATGAAAATTTTTAAGTGTGTATGAATCGTTGTCAAACCTGCAAGCGATTTGCTCTGAGGAACGAGCACAACCTTCGACTTCGGGGGAGCATCTCGAGGTTCAGTACCCCCCTTGTTCGGAGATGAGCTCCGAACAGTCTTCTCGCCACTATGTTGGGAAGAGGAAGGCATGTCAACAGGAGGAGGAGGACCCATTGGTGCAGTAGGAGGGGACGATCGAGGAGAAGGGTCAGTCCGGGCCCTTGACTTCTCCCTCCGCGAAGAGGAACCACTGCGAGATGACCTGTCTCTCTTCTTGCGGATCAAATTCTTGAGCGGTTCGTTGCTAAAATCATCTCGGTGAGGACGAGGAGAATCACGATGAGGAGATCGGGCCCTCCGAGGTGAACGATCATCACGACGTTCACGACGGGGTGTCGATCTGAAAGCAACGACGGATCTGGCCGCCTCGTCGCTACCATCGTCAACCAGCAAGGTCCTGCTATAATCTTTTTGTCAATGGCGGTCGCAAGGAACGCCTTGTTCTCCTCGCAAGCCTTAGTCATCGGCTTGGAAAGCAATTTACGCTGGGCGGTGAGGGCCCGGGCCGACATTCCTTGAGTCGAGGGAGGAGGTGGAAGGTGATGAAGTTGTCCAGGGGGACTCATCCTAAGCTTGTGATTGGCTTCTACGAACCGATCAATAGTGAAGGAGTTCCAAAGGGTTTCCCCCTCAAGGACTATTTTGAAAAATTCGATGAATTCTTCAGATGGAACAACCATATGATGTTCACATGGTGCATGAACCATAGATACATTCTCGATTCTTCTTATCTCCAACGACATGCCACTTCACAGCCCAAATTGATATTTTTGTCCTAAGAATCTTCAAGTGTCATCAAAATGTATTAACAGTTTTTAGTCTGTCATTAAAACACTATTTAAATGACAAACCAACAACACAGACTAAAAACTGTTATTACATTTTGACGACACTTGGAGATTTTTAGGACAAAAACATTAATTTATTGGGCTATGAAATATTCTTATTTTAAAATTTAAGTGAAGTTATTTTTTACTAAGATACCACTAATGTGAGTCATGTGATTCTTGTTTATAGTGTGTGCACCGCGAATCTTTTGTTTATCATATTCCGTAAGATTCTTGTGGTTATCTGAGTAGAGACATTATGTTTTCTAACATGTCTGAGTTAAATCGAAAAAAGTTATATATTAAGTAGATTTTCTCATGTGTATATAAATCAAGTTCCTTTTTATGCTCTATCTTTACCCAAATCAATCTTCTCTAATGGATTTTCCGCTTTTTAATTTGTAAAATTTTTGATGATACAATGAAAAATTGAAAGATTAGTTTCTAAATATATGATATTTTCTCCTTCCATGAGTTGTTTACACTGACACAATAGCTTAGTGATTCTTCGTTTTTAGTGTTTTTGAGATTTTGTTAGATACAATTCTAACAAATGAGATCAAAAGAAGAGATTTTAGGTTAAAGAAGAGATAAGAAATGAGATAAGATAAATATAAGAAGATAGAGATATTGATTAATTAGGTTTTTCATAATCTAAGAGAACCCTAAAATGAATTTTTCCTTAAATACAACTATCTAGATAGTTCACATTAGTCCTGGGAAAATGAACAGAATGTACCGAACATGAACCGAAGCAAAAAAAACTAAACAAAAATTTTAAAATATTCGAATAGATACTGAACCGCCATACTTTAGGTACCTAAAAATACCCGAGATACAATCATATATCCAAAAATATTAGTTATTTTTAGACCGAATAATCAAAAGTACCCGAAAAAAAAAAAACCAAAAATAATTGAAAAATACCCGAATATATCCGTAAATATCCAAAATACCAAAAAATAACCGAAATTCTCGAAAGAAAATACCCGAATGAATCCTAAACTCCAGAACCGAAAGAAGCGGAACCGAACCGAATCAAAATTTTAAAATATCCGAATTGATCTTAAACTCTAGAAAACCAAAAGAACTGTAACCGATCTGAATACCTTGACGCCCAGGACAAGTTGGCATAGCAATGACAAAACGACATCGTTGTACTTAGCTGAACCCTCCATACTTGGGAGAACTCACCTCTTGTGCCACTAATCAAGAAACATCAACCTCTTATGCCACTCTTATGTTTTCTTTTTATTATCGATTTTCTTTTAATTCGTATAAGTGAGTAAATGACCATAAAACCAGACGAAAATCAGAAAACTAAGACCCAACCTAACAAACCCGAACCCAGCCCATGACAAAATAACCCGGCCCATAAAATTTCCCCAATTTTACCCTAATTCTGAAAATCTCTAAGTGTAATTTCTCTCAAAACTGTAAAAAGCCGAAGAGTCATCTCCGTCGAGTTCTCTCCGTCGCTTATTCGCTTCTTTTCCGTTTTTGTTTTCCGTCTCCGGCGTATCGTCGTCTCCGCCGTTTTCTTCTAGCCTCGGAAATTCGGCCGTCGTCTGCGTGTACTCCGTCATTCGTCTCCTCCGTCTCCTCCGCGGTGGTTTGTCTTTTCGTCTCCTCCGCCTCCATTCAGCGTGTCTTCGTCTCCTCCTTATATGGCTCGAGTGAGAATGAAAGGTGGAGATAGGGTATATGAATCAACAGAAGGGTGTCGAGAAGGGGCTTCAAATCCAGATCCAATAGAAGCTTCGACGGATGCCGCAGTTCCAAGAGAAGCTCCGACGGATGCCGTTTCTCCTACAGAAGCTCCAATGGATGCCGCTGTAATCATTCAGACAGTGGAATCCGCAGAAGCAACCACCGAATTAGAAGTTTCTTCGGTTCCGGAATTGTCTGATAAAGAAGAGAAAGAAGAAGCCAGTGAGTCAAAGGAAGAAGAAGTCGGTGAGCATGATAAAGAAGGTGAGTCTGATAAAGAAGAAGAAGTGCGTGAGTCTGATAAAGAAGAAGAAGTCCGTGAGTTGTCAATTTATGGTCAGGGTTGTGATAACGAGGAAGAAGAGAGAGTTGGTGATGTTGAGGGTAGAGAAAGGAGTGGTGATAATGAGGAGGAAGATGTTGCTGGTGTTGTTAAGGTAAGTAACAGTTTGTATTTGTTGTATATGGTGTTAAAGGTAAGCAACAGACATAGTTGTACTCAGTTGTATGTGTTTGAATATGCAGAATATAGATGATATTGCTGTTGAGGAAGAGGAAGAGGAGAGGGTTAATGATGTTGCAGCTGATACAGATGAGGATGATGATGATGAGGAATCCCAACCACTGCCGCCAGAGAGCATGTACTTTAGTCCAACTGAGTACAACAAGGTATGTAAGGTAGGTAGTAGGTGTAAAGTTGGCCAAACAGTGGCCATGATAGAGGCATTTGATGAGGAAGTTAGTTGGTTTAGGAATCATGCTCAGTTTAAGCATATATTCCACATGCCTAAGGAACCAAATCACATGATTCAAGGCATGTGGATGCTTATGCTTCGCACTGCTCGCACGGGTATGGAGAATGAGTGTTGGTTTGTTGTGAATGGAGTGCCTATAAGGTACTCCTTGAAAGAGCATGCTTTGTTGACCGGGTTGGACTGCTATGAGTACCCAAAGAATCATGAGAAGAAGGGTAGTTTGAGGTTTGTCAGAAGGATGTTTGGGAGGACAGACCTAATCAAAATCAAAAATGTAGAAAAGAAGTTGGCAGCTATTAAGAGTGAGAAGTGTTTGGATAGGAAGAAGTTGATTATTTTGTTGTTTTTATGTGCGGTTGTGAAGGCTGATTCTAAGGGTGATGGGAACATAGAGCAATTCTTGTTAAGGATTGTTGATGATGTTCATGCTTGTGAGATATTCCCGTGGGGAAGATATTCTTTTGAGCAATGTATGACAGGGATCCGGAGAATGATGAAAAACATGAAAGGTGAGGTGAAACCAAAAGCACAGAGCAGCTTTTTTGGATTCATCACTCCTCTTGAGGTAAAAACTTGTGAATATTGTAATGAGTTAGAGTGTTTAAGTTATAGTAGTAAAACAGTGTTATTGTGAATGTGTAGATTTTTGCATTTGAGTGCATACCACAGCTTGGAAGGCGATTCAGAGAAGCTGTTCCCGCAGCTAATGACTGTCCAAGAATGTGCAAATCTAAATTCACTGACAGTTGCATGAAGGGCTTTACCTTGGATGAAATAAACCAAGCCCTTGGTAAGGTTAGCTTTTGGTGCCTTTACTTCTCTTAGTATGCATATTTATTGAGATTGATGCTATGTGTATTTAACAGGATATCTCAAGCATCTTGGAACCTGATATGGATGAGAAAGAGATGTTGTCTGGCCTTGTTGAGAAATATGTTGATGAAGGGATGGGATTTATTGATCCAGTTGTTGAAGGTTGGAGAGAGCAGCTGATCACAAAGAAGAAGAAAATCTGGTGGAAAAGTCTATACCAGATGGACTTGCAGGCTCGGGGTTTTGGTGATGTTGTCCCTGAAGTGGCTGAGAGGCTTGGTGTTGTTAAAGAAAGAGATGGTGAAGTCCCGGAGAGGCTTGGTGATATCCTCTCATTACAGTCAGCTGTGGACAAAGGATTTGCGAAGATCATGGAGAAGTTTGCTGAGATGGACAGCAAAGTGAGTATGCTGGATGGGAGAGTGAAAGAATTAGAGGGTTATGTGGCAATCCAGCTAGAGAAAGAGCGGTACAATGAGTATCATCCAGGGACTTCAAGTGATTTTGTGCCAACCTATTGTACACCAACTGCTAATCAACCAATAGCGAGTCCGACAAAGGCTTTGGTCCTTCACAGTGGTTTCAAAGACCCTAAGCCAATCCAGATTCAAGAATTGAGTGAGTTTACATTTTTGTAGTTTTCATTGAAACATACATTTTCTAACATTTGAGTTGTGTAGGTGACGAAGGTGATCAGGAGCAGCTGGCTAGGAAAGAGAAGGAGAACCTGAAGAAGAAGAGACAGCGTGGCCCTACAATCCAGACCGGGCAAAAGAGACAAAGGAAGCCTTCCAGGTTTAAGGCTGAAGAGTTTACAGCAGAGGGGAAGGGGAAGGGGAAGAAGAGGCAGAAGAAATAGGTGATCTTTATGATGGGTTGTTTTTGTGTAGGACAAAACTTATATTTTTTGAGTATTTTGCGGTTATCTTTTATTAGGATTAAAAAACATTGTACTATCTTTTGGTTGTGTTGTGGTTTAGGTGCATTTTATGTATTTGGGGTTTAGGATGAATCAGACATTATATTTTTTAAAATTATGCATCTGGTCCAACTACTAACAAATGTGGGACAACTATTAACACAAGTTGGACAACATGGACAACTACTAGTAATCCTGGGACAACTATGTGATAAACCAAGGACAACTAGTAAATACAATTTTAGTTGGACCAGTTGATCCAGGGACAACTACTAATAATCCAGGGACAACTATGTGATAAACCAAGGACAACTACTATTAAATTTTTTAAAAAATTTTAGTTGGACCAGTTGATCCAGGGACAACTACTAATAATCCAGTGACAACTATTTGATAAACCAAGGACAACTACTATTAAATTTTTAAAAAAATTTTAGTTGGACCAGTTGATCCAGGGACAACTACTAATAATCCAGGGACAACTATATTATAAACCTGGGACAACAACTATTAAAAATACTTAGTGAATACATATAAGTCGGAGTTGTACCGGTTGAACCAAGTACAACTACCATTACTGCAGGTACAACTACTAATAATACTTCATGAAAACACAATTCCATATCCAAAATACAGATTCAAATATTACAAAGAGTAGGTGGTAATCATACAATATTAACACCTTGAAAGTAACCCCCTAAGCCTCGCAATCTCGACTTCTTTTGTGGCTAACCTCTCTTTAAGGTCATCAATTTCTTCACGCATAAGACGAAGAGTTTCCCGGATCGACTCCAATGCAGGATTTCCACCCCTCCCATATTCAAGAGAGGTTAACACGTCATCTTTATGTCTGTCAAATAGGTGGTGTATCTTGGACAGCTCCTCAGTTACCGCCCAATCCCACCACTGAACTAGGTGATCTCGATTATCCTTATATTCGTTTCCATCCTAGGAAGAATATAAAAAGTTAAAACCAGCAAGTTGTACTTAGTTGTTCCAGAATTGCAACTAAACCATACCTTAAGCACTGGGCATCTGTAT